GCCTTCCTGCATTCCCATGGCCATTTGTCATGCTGTGTGTCCAGTGGCTTACAACAGCTGGTTATTTCCTCTATTATCTTTTACTAACGTTAATAAATTCTGCCCTTGGTGGTGGTGTGGAAAATCGGCATTCATAATGATTTTGGGTGGCCAGTTTCTTTCCCTCCTAGGTCAGACCACCCCTGGTACTCCACAAGCTTCCCTCCTCTCCCTCTGTGATAGACTAGTCCCACTATGCTTCACTGACATGAAATACTTGGTCAATTTGTGTTTGAACTCCTTTTTACATCTACCCTGTGCATTCTGCATGAGCTGTTTGTGGTTTTGTATGCACTCTTTCCATTATGGAAGGCTTTCTGCTCCTGACAATTAGGGGGGGTGGGGAAAGATGACATTAATAGCTGGGATTTATCACCCAACTGTGTTGAAGATAGAGCTCTCTTCAAGGGCACAAACAGATTACAAAACCATGATATTTTCCTAAAATGGCAGCAGCTAGGGAGATTCCCAAAGGTTTCCCATCTCCAAAATTATTTCTGATTCTTCATAGCCTAGTTGCTTTGGATTTCATTACGGCAGTATGCTACAGATTCTAGTCATCATGTTATGATTCATGTGTTCTCAGGGCTCCTTCAGACCATTATCTAGAACTAGTTTCCCATTAGCCTGGGGATATATTAAGCTTTGTTGAAGCTCTTACTCTGCTTTCTCCTGGGCAGCGTGGGAGGAGATGTGTTGTACAGCTGTCCCACCCCAGATTAGTGTTCATACCCATCCACTCAAAGACTTCTATTTGGAAGTGATTTTAGCACATCACTTATTTACTGTGTTAACAAGCAGCACATTGGGTGTCTGTGCCTGTTGGGTAAGTTCTTTATAGTGTTTAACCTAAATAGATGCAAAAAAAAAAAAAAAAAAAAGCAGCACAAGAGTGACTACAATGGTGTACAGAGAGGCAGACAGAAGTTCTGCAGTAACTTCTAATAATTGATGAGGTCTTGTTGTGTTTGTGCTCAGACTCTGCCCTGTGATGGAACAGCTGCCCAGGGAGGTTGTGGATGCCCCATCCCTAGAGGTGTTCAAGGCCAGGTTGGATGGGGCCCTGGGCAGCCTGGTCTAGTATTAAATGAGGAGGAGCTGGTGGCCCTGCATGTGGCAGGGGGGTTGGAGATTCATGATCCTTGAGGTCCCTTCCAACCCTGGCTATTCTGTGATGCTGTGATTCTGTGCTGCTCCTCCTGACTACCTGGGCAATGCCAACAGCTCCTAGCAGGTAGGGGCTAACTGCTGGGAAGTGAGCTTTCCTCCACGTGACAACAAAACAGAGGCTGATTTGTCAGAAGGGCATTAAAGCTGTTTGAGTTATCACTTTTCAGAAAGAAATGTGCTCCCAGGAGAAGTTTACATCAAGCCTTGGGTCACAGCCGGTCCCTGGACAAACATCTCCTGAACCGCCTGGGGTAGGCATGAATTTCCTGGAGGTACAGGAAACTCACAAGCAGCCCTTTTGGTGCACGTCCAGTATCTCCAGCACTGAAAGGAAAAGTAGCACTGCCAAGAGCTCTGGGTCTGATCCAGCAAAGGTGCTGCTACATGGACAGCTTGCAGGCTGGGTGCAAACTCAGCTGTTTTGCAGCCTGCAGACAGTGCACCTGCCTGTGCTGACTCACACCTGATTGTGGAGCAGCTCCTTCTGCTCTGGGCTGTCCTACCTGAGCACCTGGCACTGTGGGAAGAAAGCTGGCTGAGGGTTACTGGGGTGGCACAAAGCAGGGAAATAGGCTGGCCAGAAAAAATAGCCTCTCTCGGTTTTGAAATGAGCTCTATCCTGATGATTTGTTCAGCCTGCATTTTTTTTTTAAATGAGAGATTCAGTGTTGTGCTGGAAAATATGTAGTAGCAGGAAAATGAGAAGAAGAGCACAGGAAATATTGCTAAGAATGATATTGACTGATTTTTCTTCAGGCCTTCATTCTAAGGAACGTTGCACATCTGAATACATGCCAGGTCAGGGGCTGTGATGCCTGGTGCCAACTTCCCTGTTTGCTACATGATTTCAAAGCTCCTTGACATGCTAGGTCAGATATTTTGCAGGCTATAGAAGAAAAAAGAGTAACTGTCAATTTTTAAAATACAGTAGTCAGTAATTCTGGGAGGAATCCTATCTTCATGCATGCATTTCTATCACATGGAGGTGAACTGTGCTGTGCCAATCCAGGTTGGGGTTATCAGACATTGCTTATTTTTGTCCACTAGAGTGGATGACAGCTCTGCCATTGTCTTCAATAGCAGCAGAGATAAGTCAGTACTCTGTGCTTTTTAAGAATGCCATTTTTAATAAGAGCAAACAATTCAGAGATGCTGCTTAGGCTATGAAATGCCCTTGAGCTTTAGAGCAGCTGTGCTGGTCAGGGATACCCATTTGCTTAGGCTTGCTGTGAGACATGAGGATTTCTGTGAAAGGCATCTCAAGCTATTTAAAGCATTTTGCTGTTTGCTTATAGCTCCTTCTGAGAGTGAAAGTCAAGTGAAGAGGCTAGATAACAAAATAACTAAATGGAATGTAAAGTTTTCCATTGTGGACTAAAGCAAAAAACGATAATGGGATCTTTGTAAGAGGGACATGGAGTGAATTTTTAAGGTAACACAATTTCTGGACATTGGAGGCTGAGGAAGGAGATTGCAGTACCTTGTTTTGTTTTGTTTTTACATCCAGGGCAGGTGCTTCCCAGCTCTGCAAGTTGCAGAGCACTCTGGTCTCTCCAACAAGGCCACAGCACATGTCACAGGGCATCAGATCAATCCAAAATGTTTCATGCTCTGTCACTTTTTTGGATCAGACTGAAGCACTCAGCAGCTTGCCAGAATAAATGCGTTTCCATTGAGAGAGAAATGCTTGGAGTACCATGAGGCATGACTATATTGCTTTTTTTCCCCCTCTTTTTGACCTGGAAAGTAAAGTGGAGCATCCCCTGTATCACCCCCCCCCCTGCTTTCTTAGTGGGGAATGAACTCCCTCCAGTGTAACTTCATAACTTATGGCCTCAAGTTGTGCCAGGGGAACCTCAGGTTGGATATTAGGAAAAACTTCTCCAAAGGGTGGTCAGGCACTGGCACAGGCTGCCCAGCCAGATGGTGGAGTCACTTTCCCTGGAGGTGTCCAATAAATGTGGAGGTGTGGCACTGAGGGATGTGATTAATGGACAGTGTTGGTGGTAGGTGGATGGTTGGACTGGACGATCTCAGTGGTCTTTTCCAACCTTAAAGATTCTATGATTCAATGCAATGTTGGATCTTGTGTCACAAACCCACATGCAGTACCTAGAGGGGAAAATGAATGGTAGGAGGTAACTACAGTGGAGACAGTGCAGCTATCCGGGAGACATGTGGACATGGCAATGCAATGGCATGGACCCTATAGGAATGCAGGGTGTCCTCAGCTCCAGTGTGGATGAGTCAAGTCCTCCCCTATGCCTTGGGACCCTTGCATTGGTTGCTCAGAGCAGCATCAAGCAAGAAACAGAGCTCAGAGATATCACCTGCTGCTGTGCAGATCTGTGGGTGACTCAGCATTGCCAGGGCTTGCTCAGCAGTGACGGATTGCTCTGTTTCTAATACACTATTTTGTGTTATCATTTTAAATATTCTAATTACCTTCTCTTCAGTTTTGATCCCCTGCTCTTGTAGTAGCAAGGTTTATCCCTAGCTTCTCCGCAGAGGCAGAAAAGAACACGTTTGGAGTCTCAGTTGCTCTGCGGTCCAGCAGCCACGTCTGCAGGGCTTGTTTTCTGACTGTCAGTTGGGTTGGGACTCTGGACGGTGTTTTTTAAGGGCTGTGATTTCACAGCATGTCAGGATCTCATGTCCAGCTCCCTTCTCGGCAAGCCACTTGCAGACAGTTGACTGAGTCTAAGTTTTATGCTTAAAAAAAATGTATTGTTTTTCAGTTGCGAGAGTCTGTTGCCAACTCTCAAATCATTCCTCTGTCTTGTTTACTGCTTGGACTTGAAAAGCATAACAATTTTTGAAGGCTTTGCTTTTAAACTCTGCTCTTGTTTTTCCTCTGTGACTGCTTTGACAGACTTCTCTGATGTATATTTTAGTATAGGTTGACGCAAAGCTAATGAGAAGGCAACTGTTTATTTACAGAAATGTGGGTCCTATTTGTAAAATTATTTCCTGGTGAGAAAAAAAAACATCGCTTTCCCATTTCCTTACATGAATTTTGTTTTTTACATCTGCGTTTCTTTGCAGTTCCCTCTTTACACTGTATGTTACTACAGAATCATAACAGCCAGTAAGCCATAACCCTTCAATTACAGAGGTTGCTATAAGACACAAAAAGATACATTTATCTGCTACTTCAGGTCAATAAATTAGTTTTCATATCATAAAATAAGCTTATAAATAACACTGCTGATTGATAAATCTGATTATTAAGTACTAAATAAAAAAAGTACTTATAAATTCTCAGGCTTTGAGGTATCTGTTGATCAGTTTATAAGGAATGAGATTTCAAAACTCAGTTGTTGTTAGTTTTATGCAGTTCTGTCTTCTATATAAATCCCAACACTTGTTGCAGATGTCCTGCTCGGGTTTTTATCATTTCATCAGGTGTGATTGATGGTGTGGATACACAGCTGGGACAGGTCAAATTGCCTTTTTGGTGATGGGATGGAGCAGGTTGTTTGGACTTGGAACTACCTCTGGCTTATGGTTGCCTACAAGAGTATGCAAAGGCTTAAAGACATACAATTTGCCCAAGAAAAGGGCTGAACGCTCATTGGCTGGTGTGTATCTTCCAAGTCTGGCAGCTAATCCTGCTTGTAATGGGATGTGTGTGCCTTATAGTGCATCCACAAGTAGAAAACTTCCTCTCCAAAGAGATGGATCAGGATGGGCACCAGGCTCATCATGACTCATCAAGGCCTTCCCTAATTGAGGCTCACAGGTCATGTGACTGGACCTACCCAGGTGGGAGAAGATAAGTAGAAGGTGCCCAGAGATGGTGTGAAGGACCAGGAGGAACAGCAGGGATCTGAGCCTGTAGACCTGATAGATCCCAAAGGTATGTCTCTAATTTCAGGATGATCTTACTGGGGAATAAACGACCTCTTGTTCTCCTCTTTCCTCTCTGCTAGGGAGATTTGCCCCCGTCAGCAGCTTGTGGCTGCTCATCAGGCTGGCTTGAACAGGTTTATGTGGGGAGCCTTATGTGTGCCTTCCTTGCCTTGTCTGTGGAGCACTAAAATGCTTTAAGATTGTTTCTGTGATGCATTTTTTTCCTTCCTTTGAGTTCCCAAAAGCCAATTTTTCTCCATGGAATGAAGGGTTGCAACAGTAGAGAGTGAGATCATATGGGACCTGACCACCCTGAAATTACTGGGCTGCTTTGGAGGGATGTGGAGGTAATAGGTCTAATGCTGCTCCATGTTCTGCGTTTCAGTAACTGGGCACTTTCCCACTAAAGCTTGGAATCCCTATCAATAAAAAAAAAGGGAGAAATGAATAGGCTCAGCAACAAATGTACCCTAGCAGAGATCTTATTGGCATTGCAAGTGGTGAAACCTGGCTGTGTTCCTGATCGAGACTTTGAATGAAATATGTTGTTTCAGTTTTTGATACGCTTCCTTGAATAAGAATTACAGAGGCCCATTACTTTGCCTGCAGGGAAATGGCTTCCAAGACATCTTCTGCTTGTTTACTTCTAGTCTTAATTTCACCAGGCATAGTCTCCATTCAGTTTTTTTTTGTTTGTTTGTTTGTTTTGTTTTGTTTTGAGGAAAACACCTTCTGATTCAAAATGAAAAAAATATTTTCAGCCTTTACTAAAGCAAACAAACAGACACAAAAAAACAAAACAAAACAAAAAAAAACAAAACAACCCACGAAGAAAAAAACATTCTGAAATGCACTGTGTGCCTTTGCTGGGAGGGAAGGAGCTTCAAGATTAATATTATCAGCCAACCAGAATGAGAAATCTGACTTAGACTTGTGTGTACGTTGGGACCCAGTGCAACCTTTCAGCAAGGCAGCACCGACAGCAGCAGCAGAGTGAATGGCATTGCTGCTGCTGGGCACAGCACAGCTTGTGCATTTGCATTCCATTCACAGGAGCTGTGCAAAGGAGCCCGTGCTGCTGAAGGACTGCACCTTGCCAAATCGTCTTGGCAGCCACATCCATGCAGCCCATCCAAGAGGGGTAAATGAGAGCAGGATTTGGCCTGCTTTCTTTTGGTTAATCTCTCGTTTTAGAAGAGCTCTGTGTTTGTGTGGTTTGCACGCTGATGCTCGAGAGCTCAATTCTACTTGTTGAGGATGTTACTAGTCTGATAGCAGCCTATAATTACGGGATGTCATGCAGGGCTGGTGATAGATACAGCAGTGCTGGAATCTAGGGGCTGCTGAATTCATGAGCCACTCGAGGGTATCTTAGCAGTGAAACGATCCTTGGTGTGACTAAAGCATGCGAGCACTTCAGAGCAGGTTTAATATAAAGCCTGCAAATTGTCCTGATGAAGTAAAGGGAAATATTAGTGTATGTGTACACGTACAAAAATGTCTGTAGGCTTGGAGGCTTAAATATCAATTCAGTCTGAGAATTAGCTTACATTCATATTGTGCTATGTTTTTTTTATGTAATTATCCATGCTCAGGTTATCTATCCCCACAAAAGTTAGCATGCATCATGGTGGTTTTGTGTTATACTGTAAGTGCATGTATTTATGCCACCGAAGCAGTTGTCTGTATTTGTGTAAAAGAAACTTTGATAATTCATTTAATGTGGTATTATTGTAAACTTCAGTTTTTCCACCGACATGTTGATTTTATTTCTAACTTAAAACAAGTTTTAATTTATAAACCTATATACCAAGACACGTTGCTTTCTGGTGTAATTCATTGATTCAGCCCTGATTTCTCTGGGAAGGTGACTCACCTTCAGTAAAGGCTTAATTCCATAGTTATAAATCCTGATGTTTTCAGCTTGGTAATCACTATTCCCTGTCAGTTACAGCAGTCTTTTTGTTTCCTGGTGTATGAATGCAAGCAACTGTGCAAGGAGCCGCAGGCAGACATCAGCACTGACTTGCTCTGCTATAGGACACTGGGTGTTCTGATACCTTCTCTCCTCCTTGGCAAATTTGGGATTTTCATGTTTCTAAAGCATTTTTTAACTGGATATCTAACAAGAGCACTGGATCAGTGTTTTTTGCTGATGGCCTGGCAAATCTGGCCTGCTGGTGATGGAAGAAGCCTGTTCCAACCAGGTGTCTGAACTCTGTCCTATATATATCTGGTGGTGTCCAAGTCTGATTGAAAAAAAAACAGTCTGGAATCATTTTAATACTTAGCAACAAGTTTCCTCAAATCTTCCTATGTGGAATGAAATGAGTCCCTCGCTGTTAAAATGGTTGTCCCCAAAGAATCCTTATAGTGAGGCAAGGGACAAGAAAAACTATTTGCAGGCTGGCTCCTGTTGGCACACATCTCTGTAGGCACTGGCACAAGAAAACAAAGAGGAACTTCTGTACTTTGTATGTGCTTTCCTATGTATCCAGATTCTTCTGTTTTGGTCATCTGAATGATTCAATAAATTAGAAAAAGAGGCTAGGAAGGTCATTTCACAAGCAAATTCCTTTAAGTTTAACTCTGTACTATACTTCTGTATTTTTAGATAGAAAAGGTTAATAAAAAAAAAAAAAATAAGGCAGCTGTATTTGCTTCTTGGAGAAAAAGGATTCTGTGTGTGCTCTTCCATGCAAGTTTGAAGCAGACTAAACGCAGTGGCTGTCAGTTCTAAGGTGGAAAAAAAAAAACCCCAAAGCTCTGCCCCATGCACTCTGTGTCTTCAGTGGCTCTTCTGCTCTTCTTGTTCAGGTCTATTTCATAGATGTTGTAGAAGGCCAGGCTCAGGTGCATGAAGTTATGCAGTAAAAAGGGAAGGAACACTGTCATGTCAATCATGTTCACCCCTGTTCTGTGCTGCTTAATGTTATGTTTAAGAAATTTTGGGGGTGGGAGAAGATGGGTAAGAAAGGGAAGGGGCCAACAACTTTTGATGTCTGTCATATGTACTTGCTAACTTGCACCCACGTGGGGAAGAATTGCCAATGAGCACGTTTTTCCTCCAGCAGTATTCATGGAGCTGTGGCAGTTCAGCACTTAGAATGGCAGTTTCTTACAGAAACAGTGAGTGGCAGCTTTTATACCAAGCATGTCCAAGGTTTTCTCTTCAGTAGGCACATGCAGGTTCAATTAAACTCAAAGTGATCCTAGGGTAATGATACAAGCAGATGGAAAACAAGAAAACTGAGGGAAGTGCTTTTAACTGCAGCAATCTAAAGTGTAAAAGATAAATAATACATAGATTGGCATTGCTTACTGAAGTCAACCAGTGAGTCTGGTGGAGATTTGAGTGCGCCCTGAGGAAATTCCTCCTCTATGCAGTGCTGGTGGTGGCAGGTCTCCCTCAGCACCCTCCTTTTTCGGGTTGCTTCCTCCACCTGATTTTAATGATCTCCTTGGAAGAGTTTGTGGAGCCTGTTCCCAGATCAGGGGACACCTGCAGTGAGGAGGTGGGGAGAGAGGAAGGATCCTTGTTCAACTTGTTCCAGCATTGCTCAGCAGACTGCACAAAGGCCCTGCTATCTGCATCCATGCCCCTAACTAGGAGAACTTTGCACTCATATCAGTGGAATTGCCTTCCCTTTGCAACCTTTGACGCAATAAAGCTCTGTTTGAATTTTGATATGCGATAAAGCTCTGTTTGATTCTAGCAAGGCAAATAAGACACACCTTACAAACTGGTGGCAGTCTTCTATCGATTTTGAGTAGTTCTGCTTTCTCTTTGGACCAGTTATCCCTTTCTGTTGTGATAATTAAAGTACATTTTTGCATTCTGTGGCAGGAAACCATGACTTTCTGTGCAGGATATGTTGAAAACTATTGGGAAATCTGTAATTGCAGGGCTTTGGCAGCCTTTAAATATTTCCATGGTTACCGAGGGGAAGGAGGTTCCCATTGGTGGATGCAGTAATCATTTCAGTGACAAGGATGAACATGAATTTTAAAGTTCTTTGTTTGAGTATTATTTGTAGTACCAACTCAATTTTTGTAGAGCACAGAGTTCAGTTTCCATATTCACTATTTATTGATTTATTTATTTTTGTCGAAGCTGATAAATGGGAGGCATTAAAACTTCAGCTAATCCAGCCGGTGGAACGATGTGGAAAACTTTGCTGCTGGTACTTTTCTGTTACTTTCAAGTAATGAGGAAAGCCAGACTCTCAGTTCTATTTGATTTCATTGTGTTTTGTGTGGGGATTTCACACCTGTGCCTAACGCTCTGTTTTTATTGATATAAAAATCCCCAGAAAAGGAAATCTGGTTAAAACAAGCAACTGTAACTTTGTACCTTCAATATAGAGCACCAATGGTCCATCTTATTACATTAGTATCTCCAGAATATGCTTCTCACAGTCAGTAAGAGCCATATACTACCTGTGGGTAGGCTTGAAGTGTATACACAGGGTGAACATCAGTATGTAACTTACATTGAAACTTCCTTTCTAGATGTTTCCATGAACAAAAGAGGGTAACATTGTCTGAATGAGCAGCTTATGAAATATTGCTCAGTATTCCAGCAGGGAGGATGTGACAGTAAATCTGGAGAGAGTCCCAACCTGTAATGCTTGCTCTGCTTGTGCAAGGGATGCTCCCAGCTCTTGGGAGCCACTTTCCTTTTGTGCCTGTTTCTGACTCCTCTTATCTTCTTCAAAGAGTGCTTATGTAGAGCAGAGGTGGAATGTTGCAATGCCAGATGGTTTCTTGGTGCACTTATAACTTTAGCCTGACAATTACTAGAGTTAAAGATTTACAACTGGATACTGTTGCCTATTTTGGGGGGCTCATTCTAAGCCTTAAATAACAAATCTTCAAATTTGTATCCTGCAGACAGTCTCAGCATGTTTGTTTTCTCCAGGGAAGTTAAGGCATGTATTAATGTCAAACTGCATTTGAACTGAAAGCATCATGCAGGATCTGTTTTATGGAATAATGCTTTTTTTTTTTTTTTTTTTTTTTTTTTTTTTTTTTTTTTTTTGTGTGTGTGTGTGTGTGAGTTCACCCCCTACTCCTACCTACCCACAGCCCCAAATTAGGGCAGCTAGACATTTTCTGGTTGAAAAAGCTCAAATGGCAGCTGCCCTCAGCACGTCTTTGTGCTAATGCCATGGCTGCATAAATAGAGGCAAGACTCAAGGCACAAATGTGGAGCAGTTTGCACTGTGGCAGCTGCAGGCACAGAGGAAGACCATGTGTTGAAAGGTGAATGCTTGAAAGTGTGTCGGATTTAGCCAGGATTCAACCCAGAGGGCACAGTTATACAGATCGATATATATATATTTTTTTCTTTCTTTCTTAAATTTTAATTGGGACAGCTTGTCTTGCTGGGGGTTAACTCATTCATAGGTCTGCAGCCTGCTCAGCACAATATTTCAGGTGCTCAAGTGCTGTGTTCAGTGTTGGACCCCACGCTGCAAGAAAGGCATCGAGGTGCTGAAACATGCCCAGAGAAGGGTGGATATTGCAATAAAGTGATGAAGGATCTTATGGGTAGCAAATGAGGGAATTGGGATTTTTTTTTAGTCTGAAGAAAAGGAGACTGAAAGGAGGTTTTGGTGAGCTGGGGGTCAGCCTCTTCTCCCAGGTAACAGTGATAGGATGAGAGGTGATGGCCTCAAGTTGCACCAGGGGAGGTTCAGGTTGAATATTAAGAAAAATTTCTTAGAATGAGTCCCTGGAGGTGTTCCAGGACAGTGGAGATATGGTATATGTTTATGGGCACAGTGAGGTGGGTTGGAGTAGGTGTTCTTAGAGATGTTACCTAACCTTAATGATTCTATAATATTAAAGAAAAAACAAAAGGCAAGAGCCACGTGGCACGGCTCTTAACCACATATGCCAAATTGATGCAGAACAGTGGAAAAGCAGTCTTCTAATACAACTGGGAGATTTAAAAAGGTGGGTTTTTTTAAAATATTTTTTTAAATAAAATTGTTTTCTAAATAAATGTTTAAATAAGTTTTCTAAAAATCAGAAAGTAACATGGATGCTGCTGTAAATGCTGAGATAATTGTGGGAAGCTTGGTTTGTATCCAGGAAGGCAGTGAGTGTGGCTGCTGGTCACAACCTGATGCCATGGCTGCTGCCTTTTTAAAGCATTTAACCCTTCTAAAAGGGTTTTGTAATCCATCAAAAGTGCAGATGCTGTGGGGTCAGCAGAAAGCAAGCCATCAATGACAATTATAAAAGTGCAGCAGGAGGATGGCAAAATGCAGAGCTGGTGCACAGAGTAATATGTACACGTGGAAAAAGCCCTCCTTCTTTTGGCCTATGATGTAACTGAGCCCTGAAGTAAAAGCTACCAATGGGGATATTTAACATCTTTCCTCCCCTGTCGGAAATGAAAAAATAAAGCAGGCAAGTAAGCCTGCCATCCTTCAAAGCCTCTGGGAAACAGGGACAGGTGAAAGGAATGGTGCAAATCAATCTACATTACATTACCTCACTAGAAGGACTTGAAGGGACTAAAGAACATTTTCATTAATCTTGTATGGGGCTGCTCAGTGTCATCCTAAATTGCATCAAGATGTGATGAAGCCAGCAGCCACCGTCAGCACACAGGCTGAAGGAAAGGAAAGGAAAGGAAAGGAAAGGAAAGGAAAGGAAAGGAAAGGAAAGGAAAGGAAAGGAAAGGAAAGGAAAGGAAAGGAAAGGCTGAGCCAGATTCCCTTCCACAACAAGGTGATGGGGAAAGGAGTTAATGCCCAGCTCAGGTGCTTCCAGGTGAACCAGAGTTTTGCTGAGACCAAGGAAGAGTCCTCTGAGCCCTGTAGTCCAACCCCAACCCACCTCCATGTCCCTCAGTGCCACATCTCCACGGTTCTTAAACCCTTCCAGGGGTGGTGACCCCACCACCTCCATGGGCAGCCTTGTGCCACTGCCCCACCACTCTTGGAGAATAATTTTTTCCTAATATCCAACCTGGAAATAACTTTAGCACCAGATCCCAGGAGACTTTTGTTACAGCAGGGCCAATTCTGCCTTGGGAACAGAATCTCCTGGATGCTGCTCTGCCTCTGCTTCCTCGTGAACATCATTTTTTCCCTTCCTTGCTCACGGGGTTCTCCAAAATGTTATGGTCACAAATCTTCCTAAGTCTGATTTCAGTGTTTATTTAAAACACTCCTCCTTTTAGCAGCTCTTTGGAAGCTACAGTGTGAGACAACTCGTTATGGCATGACGGGGGGGCATTGACATATGTATGCACCAGGCTAACATATGAACAAACCTAGAAAAGGAATGGTGAGGCAAGAAACAGTACAGTAAGGACAAGTGGGAAAATAAGAAACTGTCAGATGTTTCAGCCTCCACAGAATAGGAATGGCACTGCTATGGTTAGTCACAGCTGTAGCTCCTGCCCCAGTCCTCAGGGATAAATAATCCCCATTGCCCCATGTAGTGAACCCAGCAGTGAGGCAGAAGGTGTAGGAGCAAAGAGGGGGACCCAGGTGATTTCAGAAGGGGCTAGAAGGCAAAGCCTTCATTTCTTCCCTTGGCAGGATTGGACGAGCAGTGGTATGAATGGAGCTCATCTCTCAGCCAGAGTTGTATCTGCATGCATGATCCATCAATTGTTCTTGGAGTGGCCTTTGCCCATAGACCAGCTTGCAGCAGTGTGGTGGAGATGTGTCCCTCAGTGCTGCATTCACCTTTTACTTGAAAACCTCCAGGGATGGTGACTCCACCACCTCCCTCAGAAGTACTCTCTTTGGCGTTTTTGTTGAAGAAGTGAATTTTGTGGGACCGATGGGGTCCCACCAACCAAGTGAGGACTGAAGGCTGCACAGTGGCAGCTGCTGTGTGCACAGAAAGGCAGTCCCTGGACACAGCATGGTGTCATTTCCCATTCAATTACTGGGGACACTGCCACCTGTAGGAGCTGTTGCCATGGCAATGTGATAACTGTAGCACATCCCAACAGAGGTCCCTCTGCAGCATCCCAAGACTTCCCTTCACCTCATGCTAATGCCGTGATCGTGGCAGCAGGAGCTGTGTAGGTTGCTAGAAAAGACAGGAATAAAGCAGATCTACCCAAAACGGGAGGCATTTGTGGGACGTGAGTGTGGACTGTGCTTGGAGCAAAGCAGAGCTGGCAAGGGGGTGAGTTGGTTTTGGAAAGTGAGAGCCGAGCCTTGTGTGGGTGTGACAGGGCTGAGATGCTCAGTTCCACATATGGCACATCCACGGCTGTCACCAACCCTGCTCTCCCCACTGCACTGACTGGAAATAAGTTCAGCCTGTGGCAGTGTCTGCCACTTTGTGGGTGCTGTGTTTTTTTGGCTATTTGATGAAAGATAGCATTAAAAACTTTCTCTTGCAAACGTGTAGAGCCTGTGACAACCACCCTGCTTAGAGACATGGTGGGGCTGCGAGAGGGGCCTTCCAGAGGTGGTCCTATGTGGTCTCCCTGTATGAGCCCTCCTGCTTGTGTGAGAGCTGGGGTTCGATAGGGACCTGCCCAGATCTTGCCTTGCTCCTTCCCATGCATCCACATGAACTGCAGGGCATCCTGCTGGATTTTATGCTTTCCCAAGTTCTAGAAATGCCCTTCAGCTTTGAGATTTACAGCAATATTTGGAGAGGGTTTCCTGTAGGTATGTTTCCTACCAATGTGTTTTCTGGACTGTTGTTGTGTTTTGTGTAAAATAATCTGGCACTTTGCATGAGCACCATCAGTGAGCAAGCTGAGAGGGCTGAGGCAGTGTTGTGTTTACCCTGGTGACCACCCCTGGCACTCTGAGCATCCTTCCCTGGCTCCTCAGTGATACTTTGTGTTGTGTTTTTCTGGAGCATCTGTGTCAGTGTGAGTGTGCTGGTATGCATGGGGTGGAAACACAGCTAAAGGCTGACGCTGCCTCATTGAATCAAGGGCAATGTAAATGGAATAAACTGTGTTTGCTGAGAGCTGAACTATAAGCACTGGGTTTAGGCAAATGCTTTAAAGCAGTCTCAGTGTTACTCTATGTTACTTGAGGATCGCTTTGTTGTTATAAGCTGGACTTTGCAATAATATTAGCACATGTTGTGTGGTTTTGAATGCTGACTTAATCTCACAGAGAACTAATCCATTTCAAGAAGCAAAGTGTTGCTTTCAGAGTGTGCTTTAAATCATTGCTTTCCCTTTTCTCAGGGTGAGAATCTGAGCCTACCACTGTGTAATTTAAGTGACTAAGATGGCTTTATATTGTCACTGTTGTCAGCAGTTCCAGTTTCCATCGAACAGATACTTTTTGGTGTGGGGAATTTATTATTCACGTTGTCATGCTGGGTGCAAACTTCCATGTTAAAACACAGCTTAATGCAGCAAAAAGTTGTTCAAGTTCTCCCTGAAGTAGCTTTCCCTACTCTAGACAGACCAGTACTGGGGATGGAAAGGGCACACACAGCTGGAACCAGCCTGGAACTGGGAGGGAAACACTAGGAATAGGTGTACAGGATCTGAGAAGTCATACCAGGGACTGGCAGAATTTTCTTTGCCCAGTTTCAATCAATCTGGCATGGAGGCAGTTGCTTATTGATAATTCTTTACAGAGGGAGGAATTGTGCTCATAATGAAGAGGTGGGACTGCAGTGCAATCAGAGATCCTCCCGTGCTTTTCTCCCTTCTAATGCAATTACTCTAGCTGCAAGATTTTTGCTCAAGATACTGAAAATCCTCCAGCTTATTTGCAGAAAGCAATGCAGCAGCAACTGTCATACAGACGTCCCCATTGGAGAGAAATTGCAGTATGAGCTGAGCCCTGTCAGGAGCTGGTCTTTACATCGCCTGGCACAGAAGTGTGTGAAACTGAGAACTTTAACTGCCAGAAAGCACTCAAAATGCTTGCCAGCAATCAGCTGTGGGTCCTACAACCTTCCTCTATGTGTGTCACCTTCCTGGGGTGGCAGTGACTGGCAAAGGGGTCATGCTCTGCCCACACTCCCCAGCTCCAGGCAGGGATGCAGCAGTGCTCCCCTACCTGGTAGGATGTCAGATCAATGGGATCACCTCTGTGGGGAAGACCTTGTAATAGACAAAAGTCGTAGTGTCCTAATGGCTTCACCAAAGCAGGTTCTTGGCAGTGCAAAGTGATGGCAAAATGCACCAGACCCAGAACTCCAGCATCAGCACAGGACAAGTGGCCTGCTCCTCCTCTGGGTTTTGGTGGACACGCATCTCATGGGAAAGGATGTCTCTGCAGTGCCTGCAAATGCAAGAATTCAGCACGCTTTTTTCCTCCACAAACCCTTTCAGTTTCTCCCTATCAGCACACCCATGCTGTGGTTAGGGGAGCATTTCTAGGTGGGTGTACGCGAGGGCAGAGTTGGACCTGTGATACTTAAGTCAGCCTCAAATGGGAATCTGGAGGAGGAGGAGCACGAATGGAGATAACACTTCAGCTTAGCTTTGGAAAATTAGCTTCTTCATAGAAGACATATTATTTTTTCCATTTTTCCTAACTGAATTTGCTGTTGCACAAAGTTGAGTTTGGAAGCAGGCGCGTTTTACTTAAAGGAGGTGATTCACTGGCCTAAGATGTCTCCAGGAAACGATATGGTGCTGCTTATAGCATAGAATAAAAGAGTAACCTTCCTGCCTGAGGGCACCTCTAGAAAACCAGATGAAAACTGAAGTCAGTCAGAAAGTCTTGGCTTTGAGGTTTCCTTCTGTCTTCTGCGCTGTAGTTCCTGGGGAAAAGGCTGACCTCTGAGAATGGAGTCACTTGCAGCCACAGAGAGGTTTGAAGGCTCTGCTCAGTTAGCTGAAATGCTTCCTCCACACTCTGCTGGAGAGGTGCCTAACAGGCCTTGCTTAAGCAGATGAATTAAAAGGACTGAAAGCAGTCATTGATGGGGCTCCTTGATGTAGGTAGAGGAGGAGGGAGCTGCTCTGGCATTAGGCTGATGTTTGAGAAAAGCTGAAAGAACCCGTCCAATTGCTAAGCAAAGCTTCTGGGAAGACTTCAAAAAGAAAAGAAAAATCAATTGAAATCGTCCACTCATCAGAGAAAAAAAAATCGTATTTGCAGATCTCTGTGCAGCATGGGGAGCTTTTATAACAAACACATGAAGTATCCTTACAACTGACACTTTCTTACTAGGGCTCAAAACTAAAAATACTTTGCAACCTACAACAAGTCTTACTGACAGAGGAGACAGTGTTTAAAGCTCAGTATTTCTGTTTTGGAGCCTTGTATTATAGAGGATGATGTGACTGTTTTTCATATGGAAATACCATTTTAATTAAGACAAACAGATGGTTAACAGGAGCAGTATTGTAGGCTTCATGAAAGTAAAATCTAAAGGGCACAATAATATTTCCACTTCACAGCGGCTTGTTTTGGTTCCTACCAATAAATAAATTCCACGTGTCAGAGAAAAACATTTTCACTGTATAGTTCATGCGTTGCTGCTTGTGTGTTAGGTGCAGATCACAAAACAGGGGCACACTTATCCCCAAAGCAGGTACAAATATATGCATGGAGCAAATCATGCAATACTTGAAATCTATTGATAACTGCATAAAAGGGCAAAAAAATTCCATTTTCCATAACCAGAAAAATCTCTCTGTGAGTTGTAATTTCACCACGTCTTATACCTGCTCTGTACCTGCTCTTTGTGCTTGCCTGCTTGCAGAAAACTCATAGAAAGAGGAAAGTGACTGCAGGATGTGTTTGTAGACGGTGCTTAGTCACTTTTCCCCTACAGCACAGCTTGCATTCGAAAACAAGAAAGCTCTGTATCTAAATCAAGTTGAAATGAAACTTCTGGAACTTAAGGCAAAGCATTATTTTGATAAGGAAACTTGCCTATCAGAAGGCAGAGGCTGTACTGGCCCTGCAGCTCACCTCCAGAAGGTGAGAGCAGCGCTGCAGAGATAAGTGCCCTATTTCTGGGCATGGCTCGACAGCCTGTCTGCCTGCAACCCTGAAAGAGGATTCTGGGGGGCGAAGGTTACAGCAGATAAAGCAGGGTATTAGGAGCTGTCACACTCTCCAGTCTTTCTGCCGCTGCTCTCTTCATTCTCACATGTGGGTCAAGCACAAACCCCAGCTCAGAAGTTGCTCTGCTCCAGCAAGAGTACTTTGGACATTTGTTACATCCCTAGGGTGGAAATACTTGTCCAAAAGATGGTGCTCAAAGGACCTTGCAGATTGCCAGGAGAACTGGGAATGTGAGCCTGGGCTGTGGCTTTTCAGGGAAATACTCTGAGAAATATAACAGTGGAGGCAAGCACCACTAGAGACGTCCCATTTATAATTAGCACATTGCTAACGACAGGAAGACTTTCCCTGAGTGAGATCTAATGTCATTAAACTTAAACCTGGCAAACATCAGTTAGTGGAAACAAAATTAGCCTTGTCTGGGAATACCAGCTCCTGCCTCAAAGTGCTGATTTCCCCAAACATACAGGCAACAGCCTCAGAAACCGTAATTAGGAAACCTTGCCAGACTTGAAAGAAGATTCTTTCACCCACAAAGGCCCAAGCTCATAAGCTTCTCCTATCGCCCCACAGTTTGGTGTGTTTAATGGCCTCATTGCTCAAAGTGATAACCAGACGGTGTTGGATTTAATGCGAGACCATGGAAGTCTGAAGGAAAATTAACAGCATCAAATCGCATCTCAGTCACTCTTGCTTGGTTCTTAGGGTTGGCTGGATGTGCTTTTTGTCTTCTTGGTTGCTTGTTTGTTCCAACCACGTTGTCACCTACTGCCCTGTTCTTGCATGAACTTCCTCCAGTGTCCTGTTGTCATTTCCCAATTTGCAGGGTTCCAGTTGTATCAGCATCTCCAAGATGTGTGACAGCGGGAGTCATGTGAGTGAGGCACAAAAGTTAATAGCTGATGAAAGGATAATTTAATGTAGCATAAAAAGGCCAGATTCTCAGCTGATACACGTTGATGAGAAAATTGCACCAATTTGCACCAGCTGAAGATGCACTGTCTGGATCTCTAGGTAAAAGTAGCTTATGTAGTTGAAATTTCATACTAGCTTATCTGGAGACAGGGAATTAAACAACAAGACTAAGCATCTCCCAGAAATAGATGCATCAGTGGGAGTTGGAACAAGGTTCTAAAAGTAATTACTATCCTGCCTGGAGTGTCAGATTCATCAATAAAAGCAAAGCCTTTCTGTAGTAGTGTAGCTATATAAAATAGAACACACCCCACACCCTGCAATAATGGTTGTAACTCAATATTTTGCAGAAATACTGAAATGGTGGAGCGAGTCTGGGTGGAGAAGTGAAACTTGTAGGTCAAGGCTGGGTAAGGACTGCGCAGTTTGATCCCTCCTCTGGAGGCTCAATGGAAATGATCACTTACTGTGCAGCATCTCATCCCTCTTGTGATGGCAGCAGATGGCCAGGGCTGCTCAATCCCAGATTAATCAAAACTCCATTTAGAAGAGGCACTGAGGAGCAGTTCAGAGATGGCAATGGGCTGGCAGAGGAGGCAGTAAGATTGCATCTGCTGAAAATCTGCATGGGCTTCAGGGAGAAATCAGAGAATAAAGTTCCATGAACAGAGGCCTTCAAAATGAAGGGGAAGGGGAAGGCAGTCAGGATCTGGGGCACCAGCCAGACTGTTCTCCTAGGCTGTTTCCAGGACAAGAGCATTTGCTATGGGCTTTGCAGAGAACAGTAATGGAACAGAGCATTGTAATGTTGAGGATCTAGAGATATATTTTGCTACACTGCAATGACAGAGAGTTGTGCTCAGGGGAGTAACCAAGCCCACAGGGCACTGGTCACTGCTGTGTGTAGCAGACCTTGCAGCTTGCGTGGCATATATTGTTGTGTGCGTATGGCTGCTTCCTGAGGAGCAGTGGGGACTTGCAGCATCACCTGGACTTTTGGGCAACACATGCATCTGTCCTCTTGCAGAAAGAAAGATTGGAAACCCCAGCATCACGTACAGCAATACAAGATGTAGGGAAAGTGTTGACTCCCAATGCTTTGGTACTGCACTGCACCACCAAATGTCCTGCTAGGGAGACAATGTAATCTTTCCTCCCTTTTATACTTTCTCAATTCTAAGATCAGAAAAGTAGTGAATAACTCAGGTTGCACCACAAATAACATTTCTGTTTCTCTGTGTCATGCCAACAGGCTGAAGTATCTTTGGGCAGGGTTTAGTAATGTATGATGTTTGGATTGGACTTTGCTATGAAGAGCAGTGTGGGTGATTGTTGCTGTTATTTTTCTTTTTTAGTGCATTTGATGGAATTGCATATTTTACAGTGCCATGATGTGCTCATGATGATGCCCTGAGTGTCACTGACAAAAACACTGTTAGTCCTGGCCCAGCACTTGATCCAGAACTTGGTGAAGTCATTTAAAAAGCTTTTATTGATCAGGAAGATGCTACCAAAACACAAGCCTTCTTGGAGTTGCTTTCTCACTGATTTATGAGCTGTAGGGAAAAGTAATTAAAAGGGAAATGACATGTAACTGCGATTTAGTGGAGACTAGTGTCTAATGAAAAATGCTCCAGAACTTTTCTTTTAGGGTGCCTATCTCATTCTGAGGGCTGCATAAATCATCCCTGCAGGTTTGCAATAATATTTTGCTTGCTTTCTACAGGGGATTTAAAGTCTGTGTTTGACAGTATTCCCTGTGCCATTTCCTTCACTGCATGAATGTTCTTTGGCGTTCAACAAAAATCCAGACTGCTTACATTAATCTGATTTCCCCAATCAAGTCACCATTAAATGTATTTCTGGCTGTGTGGTGAGTCATGCTGTAATGATCAGATCCAGGTCATTCTGGATATTGTGCAAACATGAGATAATGTCTTTCTTGAAAGACTTGGAAGGCTCTTCTTTCTTTAAAGTGAGAGAAAAAGGGATTATAACCTTTTTGACTACTCCAAGTGGATGCCAAAACTTCTGATTGCATTTGAAAACAAAATTCACAGTATTTTAAACGAGGGAAGACAGACATGACAAATTATCAGGTGAAATCTGAGATCCTGGTTGGATGGATGCGATGAAATTTCACACTGCTGAAGGCACGGTGTTGTAGAGATGACAGGAGTTGTAGCCATAGTCTGTGGACAAGGAAAATGTGTATTAAAAAGCAATCCAGAGCAACTAACGTGTGCCTAGGTTACCACAGATGTAATGTTTATGTTTCCTTGTTGTCCCATGCCCTTTCTCCATAGTTAACAGAGAATTTCTGGTTGCTTTAGTATAGTCCTTCAGTCAAGATTGCCTGACTTTGAACAAGAGCAGTAATTTCAGTGTATTAATTATCGTTATCAACATTTTGTTTCTGAGTTGCAACTGCACATCTGAAGTTTAATCCAAATGGCAAGACTGGGAGCTGGAGGCAACACAGCTGGTAGTGCTAAGCCCTAGCTAAGCAACTGTGTCACAAGGCAGACTTATTAGCTCAGGCAGCAGTTTCTAAACTGGAAGGGTCTGGTTTATTTGTGACAAAGGGGGCTATAATAGCGTGGGGGGTCAGCAGATCATGTGTGGGATATGTAGGAGTGAGGCTGAAGAGTTTTGAAGACCAGGTTGGACCGCTTTGGTGCCAGTTTGCTGTGCTACTGCCCAGAGCCCACGCAATGCATGGCCACATACCTTCTGGTGAGAAGGTTCTGTGTCATGTTCAGAGCCAGCAACTCTCGTGTGAAGTTGAATTCAAGTTTGCAGTTAGCTTGAATAGGAATATCACTGCAGGTTCTCCTCCTTTGTGCTGCTAAATGGATATTTTCTTTTTTTTCTGAAAAAGACAGGGTTTTTTTTTGCTTTACATGGGTGAGAGACTGTAATTTCACCTGGAAAAATATTCTTTCTCCTTTGTCTATTGATTAATTTCTCATATGCAGTTTTTGAAGGGCTATATCAGGCTGACAGCTGTGGTCCTTTCCTTTCTGCTACCTGGGATCCCATGGGAACAGGACATTTCAAAAAATCTGCTGCTTTAGGTGCAGTGACCTTTTATGTTTAAGTTACATTGTTCTTTTATCCATCACAAAACCTTGGAGACTTATCTCATAACAGTTCCCTTTGGCTTTTAATCCTAAATGCAGAAATTTCATTAAGTTATTCATTTTCCCTCATTTTCATTGTGATCACCAGCCACGTCAATCACAGCAGCACTTCAAAGAGAGAGGTTGAGCTGTGCATCAGATATAACTTTATTCTTTGTATTTATAAGGCAAAGCATAAATTCTAACAGGTCCACTAG